TTCTTCATTATATATTATATATTATATATTATAATAATGTTATATTTGCGATTTAGTTTTGATTATCATATTTAAAATAAATTTTGTTTTACATTTATGACAATGAATAACAATATTTTATAACAAATAATGTGCAATGAATAATATTATTTTGTAGCAAATGTGCAATAATTGGCAATAAATAACATTTTGCAATTACAAAATTATTTGTTATTATTTTTTCATTTGTTGCAATTTTTCAAAGCATTTTTAAATATAAATATAAAATTTAGGAAATAATTTGTTTGAAAAACTGCGGGAATGGCAAGAAAATGGCGGACCAATCAAAAGTGGCAGTTGTTTGGCGCCTCTGATTAGATCGGTATGAAGCCAACTGTCGAACTAACGATTTCAATAATTTCAAATACGTCATTCGATTGCTAATCGTTTGCTAATTTTTGCATCTATTTTTATTTTATTTGCATATTAATTATTTTGGGTAAAAAATCGAAAATAAATTTGGACAAGTGTAACGGGTGTAACCGCCATTTGAAACCTTTATCTCATAATTTTATAAATATTTCGGTGCTAAAACGTTTGCTAGTCATTTGCTAGATCCGTATATACAAGTATTTTTTCTATTTTATCGATAAATTGTTCCAAATTTTATTAATAGTGTAAGAAATGGCCAGTTCGCCTAGTTATTTTCCCCAACAGTAGTATTTCTTTTCTAAGTTGGCAATTAGTAGCGCTTCCGTTCCGCGGCGCTAGTGTTCTCGTGATCGCCTCGCGATTGGCGGACTCATCCCGCGTACGTGCTGCGCCCGCGCGACGGGCCACGTGAGCCCTTGGCGTCCTCTGATTGGCGCATGTGATGCTCTTGCTATATCATCGTTTCCGCCTGGAGACGGTGAAACAGTCTTAAGTCTTTTGTCGACGAGAGAAGATCTCAGCCATTATGCCTCGCGAGTCGAGCGCCTTTTTCGTGTTAATTGAATAAACCTGTGTTCTGTTAATTACTGTGTA